ATCTTGACAATTTTAAGCTCACAAATTATGAATCAGGTCGAATTCAACAATATTCAAACTCGACTCGAATCATTTACGATCATAATCTTAACCAACATTTCAGGGGCCAATTTAGAGAATATTAATGGTTTTCACTGAAAACTTGACAATTCAAACTGGAGCTTGTGTAGTTCATATCTTGGATTTAATAGTCTCTAAATATTAGTTTTGATGGTTTAATTTATGAATTAGTTACTGGAAAAATTTGACAATAAATTTAAGGATTTCTTATCTTGGAAGATGATTAGGTTTCAAATCTCTCTAATGCATTGTTTGTATTTTTTGGGTAAAGTACACAAATAATCCTCTAACTGTATGATATAATTTTGTTGAATCTTTCAACTATTTAAAGTTACAAAACAATCCCTTGACTGTAGGACATTGCTTTGTTAAGTCCCTCGACAATTAAAAGTTACAAAATAATCACTTTACTGTTCATATATTTCAAATTCATCATTTTCTATTAAAAATTTAATGGTCATCTGAGCTTAAAGTTAACCTCCTAACTAAGATATGATAAAATTTGATCCTAGAATCATTTAAATGTATATTCATTTGAAATTCTGGGATCATATGTTATAACATATTGGTTAACATGTTAACATTCAGCTCGGATTATCGTCAAATTTTAAATATAAAATGACAAGTTTGAAATCTATGAATAATGAACATTTTATAACTTTTAACAATAGAGAGACTTAAAAAATAACACCATATAGCTAGAGGACCATTTATTTATTTTACCCAATTTTTTTCCTGGTTTGGATCTTATATGACGTGCTAGAAATGTTTTTATTACTGAGATGATCTTCTTATTGGTTAATTCTACCGTACAACAATTTAATATATGATTAAGAAAATATAATACGAGAAATATTAATATTTTTTAATATTTCTGATAAAGCGTTATATAAAATATTATTTTTTCAATCGAAAATATTAATTTTACTATCTAATTTTTTATTTAAAAAAATAAAAATTTAGGTAACGTCTAATATTAGTATTTTTGATAAAAATAATATTTTATGCAGAATCCGATTAAAAAAATATTAAAATTTCTTATAATTTTTTTCTTAATCATATATTTAGTTGGGTTACTTTAAATTGCCCCTCACTAGCTTAATTGGCGTGAGCATGACTTATTAAAGCAAGGAGTTGACTTTGCACTCTACCTGTCGCATCAACTGAAATTTTGTTTTCTTCAATTTGTACCGATAAGGTGATGACTGGATGACGTAGGTAAAGAATTAAATTTTCTGTTTCATAACAGTTTAGTTCTAAAAAATATTTTCTGTTTTTAGTTTTTGAAAATAATTTTTAATTTTAATTTTTTGAAAATAAAAAAATTGTTTAGTTAATATAAATAAAAATTTGAATAGAAATGAATAAATAATTAAATTAAACTGTAACTATTAAAAATTTTATTATATAAATTTAATATGTGAGTTATGCAAATATAAAATAATAAAGTTGATAGGAAATTTCATAACACAAAAAATATTTTAATTTATAATAAGAATATAATATTGATTTATATTAGACATCAATTAAATTTTAAAATAAACAAAAAATATTGTTGTAAGCAAGAGCACACAAAAAGTGTCATTAAAATAAAAAATATGTTTAGTGGCAATTGAGGTCCTCAAATTTGGGAAAAACTAGTGTTGTCCCTAAACTTTTGTGCACTCAATATGACTCTTAAGTTTTTTTTTTAAATCGATACAACCTTTTAACCAACGAAATCAAGCGTTGACGGTCACACCGCTTACATGACAATTCACGAAACTTACATGACAATTTATAATATTAATGTTACAATTCACGATATTGTTATGGTAGTACATGATGGACGATTGTCTGATAAATGAGCTTAATTATTTTTTTGGCTAAGTTTAGGGGCATTATTGATTCTTTTAGAAAGTTTGAGGATTTATTTAATTTTCAGAAAAAATAAAAATTATTTAAATTTAAAATATAAAATATAAATAATTATTAAAATATTAAATACATTAAATATATAAATTATTAAAAAATTAGTTTAAGGATCACATTAAGTGTAAAAAGAATTTAGGGACCATATTGATTTTTTATAAAAGTTTGAGGGTTTCAATACCATTAAGTCAAAAAATTGTTAGAAAGATTTGAACTCATGTAAGTTAAGTTAAAAATTTAGATCTCATATTTCCATATTTTCCAATTTTCCAAAACAATTTGAATGAAAATACTAAAAATATCTTTTTTATGTTTTTCATATTTTCACTCATTTTTGTTTTCATTTTCGATAAATCATTTTTTAATTTTACAACCAAACATGTTTTCTTCAACATTTTCTGTTTTCTAAGAAAATGAAAATAGCCTATATTTTCTATAACCAAAAGGACTTCGATTTTAGTTTTACACATTCGCATATTTAAGACCGTTAAATGAGTAAAAATATACTTATATTTAACTCATTTATTTTTTTCAGTGAATATCTCCTCATTTCCTATCGTTAATCTCAACCGTCTTAAATTTATGTAAGACTAAAAAATACCATTAAGTCAAAAAATTGTTAGAAAGATTTGAACTCATGTAAGTAAAGTTAAAATTTAGATCCCATATTCCCATATTTTCCAAATTTCCAAAATAATTTTAATGAAAATACTAAAAACATCTTTTTTATGTTTTCATATTTTCACTTATTTTTGTTTTCATTTTCTAAAAAACATTTTCTAATTTTACAATCAAACATGTTTTCTTCAACATTTTCTGTTTTCTAAGAAAATGAAAATAGACTATATTTTCTAGAACCAAAAGGATTTCGATTTTAGTTTTACACATTCACATCAACTAAAATTTTATTTTCTTCGATTTTAGTTTTACACATATTTAAGATCATTAGATGAGTAAAAATAGATTACTTATATTTAACTCATTTATTTTTCAGTGAATATCTCCTTATTTCCTATCGTTAATCTCAACTGTCTTAAATTTATGTAAGACTAAAAGAGTTTTACATTTTGTAATAATATTTTATTCCTTTTATAATTATTAAATTAATTATTAACAATAAAATTAAATAAAAATTAAAAGATGAATTATTAACGAGTGTTGATACAAGTGGTTGAGATTAAAGAATTTGAGCTTGTAAGGTCATGTTTGAATCCTACCACATTCACTTTTGGTGGATAATCTGTAAATTCCTATTTTAATCACATTTGAGTCTTGAGTATGTCCTGACCCTGAATCGAAGGAACCACCCTTGACCTAAATTTTTGTACCAAGAAAAATATCATATTACAAAGATTCAAAAAGTTAAATTTTAGAAGTATATATATATATATAATATTCACTAGTTTGCCATTTTATAATCTTATTAATTATATTTCCTATCAAATATTAAAAAAACATTTTTAATGAAGTATAGGGGTTATGACGTATGACCCACGCATTTTAATCGATTCACACGGTATAGTTCTCTTTTCTCCCACAGCAATAGTTTATTATTCAGATATATATAATATACACACTGTCCTTCTCCGTAGGTAAACTTCAGGGAAGATCCCAAGGTACAGAAGCATCATTTTAACAGAGAGCTCCAAGGAAGTTGAGAGATCATGGGAGATAACTGGGGACCAACAGGTATTTCTTTTACTTCAACTTCATTCTTTACCATCTTCAAATCTTTTTCAAATTCTCAAAACTTGATCAAATCATCATTGTGTTGGAAACTCAAACAAGTGTGGACGAACCTGAGGTCCGACTAGAAAATGCTTGTCTGGCACCGCTTCCTCACGATATCGGCTGCCTCTTTTGTTCTTCTCTGACCGGAACATTCTCAAGAAACACTCTCTCCTCCAGTACCTTCTGCAAGTTACATCAACAACTAAAGTCTCACACAGTCTCGATAGTTTATCGCCGGGACTGCCCAACATAAACATGTCCGGAAGCAGCAAATGCCCAAGATGTGAATCGAGCAACATCAAGTTGGGTTACTACAACAACTACAGTCTCACACGATCTCGATAGTTTATCGCCGGGGCTGCCCAACTTACACATGTCCGGAAGCAGCAAATGCTCAAGATGTGAATCGAGCAACACCAAGTTCGGTTACTAAAACAACTACAGTCTCACTCAGCCTTGATACCGGGATTGGCCAACATACACATGCACGGAAGCAGCAAATGACCAAGATGTTAATCGAGCAACACCGAGTTTGGTTACTACAACAACTACAGTCTCACACAACTTCGATACTTTATCCCCGGGGTTGGCCAACCTAAACATGCCCTGAAACAGAAAATGCCCATGATGTGAATCGAATAACACCAAGTTTGGTCACTGCAACTACAGTATCTCATAGCCTCTATACTTTATCACACAGCCTCGATACTTTTGCAAGACATGTAAAAGGTACTGAACCAGAGGGGGTGTCTTGAGAAATGTTCACGTTGGAGGTGGATGTCGTAGGAACAAAAGAAGCAAAGGAAACAACATCGAGTTCTTCAAGTACTATTTCTTCTAACAGTAGGGGAAACACCGATGTTTTAGGCCTCCTACCTCAGATTTGTCCACCGAGATTCTCTTTTGCATCATCGTACAGGATTTGGCGGCAGTGATCATATTGATTTGAATTACGGAACACTGTTAGATGATTATTTCAATTGGCTCATTGGCTGATAAAACAAATCCTTTAAAATATTACATGGTTTGTCCTTTTATTTTGTTCAAGAGAATGCCATGCGCTTACATTCCTTGGACTACTTCGATGGTGAGGCTCAACCTGTTAGGAATCTTCTTTTATATTTTTCACTCAAAACTTGACACTTCAAAGATATTTATGTTTTTGAACTGCTCTGTTCTTAGGCCTTACCGGCTTTGACGAGATGTTGTATTCATCAGGTACATATCAATTACTTGTTACACAATTCAATTTCATAAGAATATACATAACATTTTCAGCTCTGTTTTAAGAATAATGAATGTATAAAGACCAAGTTCACAGTGTTGGAGGTATATCATTGAACATTACTTCCTTTTAAAAGTTAAAGGCTTTGGGTTGTTTTAGAGCTTAGTATCAACACAATCAACCCAAAACCTAAATGAAAGAATGACTCATAAACATGTCTACCATTATAGATAATAACCTGGATTTCTTATGAACACTCATCTTCTTCCTGGATTTCTTATAAATAATTTAAGTTTTGGAACTGCTTGCTGTTTTTAGGCACTGACGGCTCTAACCAGATGTTGTTGGGTTCACAAACACAAGGGAACGCTGATGGTTCCATGCAGCCGAATGATCTTCAGAGCCACCCACATTTTGGTAATATTATTAACCACTCTTTAGGTTGCACTGATCTTTCTCTAATCAATGAATAAGGTTTTCCTTTTTGAAAGAAAAGTTGCGAACATTCTTCAAAATTGTTTTCTCCCCCCCATCTCAGTTCATCAAGTAAACGGCCCTGTTTATCCCCTAGCTTGCTCTGACAACAATGATCAATCTACTCCCACTCCAAGTCTTCCCCACCGTGCTGAGCACCACCTTATGCAAAACCAAGGGTGTTCAGCTACTTACTATTCAAACATCAAAAATTTAACGACTTCAAGTGATGGCAGTGATTATGCTTTGAAGTTTTTGTTTTAATCTCAGGGTCTTCCACCTTGAACCAGCTGCTGGATATACCCACAAGTTCACAAACTCAACGGCATATTGGTTATCCCCCGCAGCCAAGTGACCTTGTTAGCCCCCACCAACATTTAGGTATGTCGTTACAAAAACTCAATACGTGTACTCTATCTCTGGGGTCTAACCAACAACGTGAATATCAACAAGCATTTGGTTCTGATGCAGCACAAAATCGTCAACCGTTGCAAAGATCTCTAAGCAAAGATCAAAAATACAGGCTGCGTCTCAAGGAAAAAGAGCAAAAGAAGGATGAACAACTTGCTGACTTTAGATTGAAGCTTGCGATGAAGGATGAACAGCTTCTTCGCCTTATATCGGAGAGTGGGGAAAAGGATATACAGCTTGCTCGCCTTAAATCAGAGCTTGCATTCAAGGATCAACAGCTTGCTCACCTTAGATCAGAGAATGAGATGCTGAGAAATAACAAAGATGAAATGATTGCTCACCTAATATCAGAGATTGAGATGCTCAGAAAAGAAATCACATCATTTATCAAGCATAACAACCTCCTCACTCATTGAACAAATGCTCCAATCTCTATTTCATCTAATCTCCACTACTTTATGCAATGGGGATTTCATTTTCTGCATTATCAGTCTCGTGGCTTTTGTTTTGAGTATGTTATGGAACTTACAACTTGGTACTGTTATCATTACTATTACCACATACTTTGTTTACAAAATTTATTGCACCGAACTTTGGTACTCATAGTAATAATCACATTACTGACTTAAAGGCAATGTTATGGAATTAAACATCATAATGTGATTACAAAAAGTAAAACAGAAGAATAACCGTCTGTTGTTGGTTTCTTATAGGTAAGGTAACTTGTGTGTTGTGTGAATGGTCACTAATGTTTTTTCATGGTAGTTTTAAAACTAACGATTTATATATTAAAGTTATCGATTGATAACAAATCGGTCATTTACCGTTAACAACCATTTCCACAGTGACCGGCACCGTTAATGGAGTGCTTCCATGAATCTGCAAAGAAAAGGAGGCCCATTTTGGCTTGAATCTTGCTCGACGAGCACCAAAAGCTTCTGGGACAGCTCGTGGATCATTTGAAGAACTGAGTTTAAAGCTCCCCTTCTTTCTTTAATGATGCAATGAAGTTGAAGAATGTTGTTAACGACAAGAACTTCATCTAATATTATTAATATATACTTTTAATTTAAAAAATTAACATTGATGTTAAAGAGTCATCGTAAGATAATAACACATCAGAATTGAAAAATAATAATAAAAAATGTCATGTTAGTATAATTGTTAATTTTTTAACGGCATGTGACCAAAATAGAACCAAAAGATATCATTAGGTATGCTTTTTGAAAAAAAAATAATTGTTGAATGACCAAAACATAAACTAAATAACAAGTGGGTGGCTAAAGAGTAATTTACCCTATATTTTGGCAAAGGGTTGGGCATGGCCTAGGCCTAGATACGCCATTGGACTATGTCGAATTCGAAGTTGATTCCCATGAATTTCGCATATGCTTTAAGTTCTTTTCAAATGGTGTCGAACTGCTTGACACAAAGGCCGATTGTGGTTATGTGGAGGCATGTGCACTGCTTCCGCCGCCGTCTCTTCTACTGCCTCGGCAACGAGGTATCTTTGACTGTAAGTCAATATGTGATCACTGAAGTAAAGTTTTGATAAACAATCGAAGATAAATTATTTTAAATTATGATCAAATTGATATAATATATAAATTTTATAGATTAAAATTGTTACTATACTAGATCATATTATGAGCTCTATTATTTCAACAATTAAATTTAATTAACGACTGATCAAAATAGAAATAAAATGTAAAATAAGACGTGATTTTATTTAAAAAATAGGTAAATGACCAAAATATAAATACAAGAATATATAGGAGATCAAATAGATAGTTTACCCAAAGAATGAAAGAGATTTTTTGTTTTGTTAACTAAGAATAAAAGAGATAAATAAACTTATAACAAGCGGTTTTGGACTTTGGTGGGTTCAGTAGTTAAACCCAGAAAAGGACATTATATGTCATCTATGAAATCTTGACGCGCGGTTCCTTGACCACTTTTCTGTAAATAATCCATAATTATTATGATTTATATAAAAATTATTTTTTAATGTCAAACTAATAATAAAATATTTCATGTGATATCAAGTAGGGGTGTGTAAATTCGAATATCGAATCTGATATGGTTCAAAATTTCGGATACCTAAAATAATGATAGTATTTGATCCAAAAATATCGGATATCTGAATTTTTAGATCGGATATCTGGATTCGAATATAAAATTTAATTTGAAAAATAATAATTTTAAAATTTAAATTATTTGATTTAATGTAATTTATTCGATACATCTACTATATATATATATACATACATTTAATTACTCACATATATTAAATAATTAAATATCTTAATTTTTATTGTATTAGAGCTTTAATGGGTTAATGAGTTATATAAAAATTATTTTTTTTCAATGTCAAACTAACAATAAAATATTTCATGCCAAACTAATAATAAATATTTCATGTGACATCAAGTAGGGGTGTGTAAATTCGAATATCAGATCTGATATAGTTCAAAAATTCGGATACCTGAAAATTTCATATACCTAAAAGAGTGATCTTATCCTACCCGAAAAAATCGGATATCCGAATTTTTGGATATTCTGAATTTTCGGATCGGATAACTGGATTCAAATATAAAATTTAATTTGAAAAAAATTAATTTTAAAATTTAAATTTTTTGATTTAATTTAATTTATTTGATACCTCTACTATATATATATATATATTTAATTACTCACACACAATAAATAATTAAATATCTTACTTTTTATTGTGTTAGAGTTTTAATGGGTTAATGAGTTACTCATTTATTAGGTAGAAGAATATCTAAAATCTAAAAGCCCAATTTTTTTTCTTCATGTTTTTGGATAATCCAAACTTGGAATTTATCTGATACGTATCCAATCCAATTATCTTAAATTTTTTCGGATATCCGATCTGGAATATCCAAAAATAAAAAACATATTAAATATCTGAATTTTCGAATCAGATCAGTCGGATCGGATTTTTTGCACACCCCTGATACCAGTCTATCAAAACTTCTGTTACGTATATATACATATATAAAAAATATATATGTTGAACCTGGAAGAACACCTTGAGTTCATCGAAACATAAATACGTAAATATGTATCCATCCAAGGGTGGAAACTTTACACCAAATATACATACATTCTCCTTCTGTGGACGAAACTGGGACTAAGTCGTTGGTAGCGTTGCAGATCATGGGAGACAGGGGATCACCGGAGGATAAGCCTTCAGGTATTTCTTTTACATTTATTCACTACAACTTCATTCATTACCAGCTTATGAAAGCATCTTCAAATATTTTTTCAAGTTCTCAAAACTTGATAAAACCATCTTTGTGTTGGAAACTCGAAAGTGATTTATAATTTAGGGTGAAAAACAGACTTAGAAATTGCCAAGAGCTGAGGAGACTGGTCTCTTAGTACTGTTGAATTTTTTATGAGCTCTATTGTTAGTATTTCGGTTCAGTATGAGATCAAATCAGTACTTTTATGATCTCTTTTCTTATAGCTCGACACTGTTTTATCAATGTTGTCGGATTATAACCTGTTAGATGACCATTTATCTTGGTAAAATTTCAGTTGGCTCATTGGCTGATAAAAGAAAATTCCTTTAAAATAATATTACATGGATTTTCCTTGTATTTTGTATAAGGTTGGAGTTATATATATATATATATATATATTGTATTTGTGGCAGATTGTGGTGATGGTAGTTGGCAAGGAAGGGCACCGAGTCCTGGCATACCAATCTCATTCACTCAAGAGAATTCCATAAACCCACCCCACTCACCCTTGCTTTTCTCGGACTACTTCGATGGTGAGGCTCAACCTGTTCGGAATCTTCTTTTTATATTTTTCACTGAAAACTGTTAGTATTTATGTTGTTGAACTGTTTTCTGGTTTTAGGACCCGACGACTTTAACCAGATGTTGGGTTCACAAAGCCGAGGGTACTCTGATGGTTCCATGCAGCGAAATGATCTTCCGAGCCACCCTCATTTTGGTAATATCATTAACCACACTGTTCTTTTCTTCTTTAGGTTGCACTAATCTTTCTCTAATCAATGTATAAGGTTTTTTTTTAGAGAAAAGCTGCAGTATTCGACCTTTAACCAGCTGCTGGATGTACCCTCAAGTTCACAAACTCCACGGTACATTGGTTACCCCCTGCAGCCAAATGACCTTGTTAGGCCACACCAACATTCAAGTATGTCGTTAAACAGTCCTTATTAATGTTGCTCACTCTCTGATCTTTTTCCTTGCAAAAACTGAATATCAACAACATTTGGTTCTGATGCAGCACAAAATCGTCAGCCTTTGCAAAGATCACTAAGCAAAGATAAAAAATATAGGCTGCGTCTCAAAGCAAAAGAGCAGGCTAAGGACCGATGCATCGAAATGCTGAATCAACAAATTTTAAGGATGAATGGTGAACTTGCTGGCCTTAGATCAGAGAATGAGATGCTGAGAAATAACAAGGATGAACAGATTGCTCGCCTTATATCAGAGATTGAGATGCTGAGAAAAGAAATTACATCTATCAAGCATAACAACTTGTTCATTCATTGAACAAATGCTTGAATCTCTATTCGATCTAATCTCGTCTACTTTATACAATCGGGATTTCATTTTCTGCATTATCAGTATCATCTCGTTGCTTTTGTTTTGAGTACGTTATTGAACTTACAACTTGGTACTGTTATTATTATTACCATATACCTTGCCACAGGTTGGGAATCATACAAATACGTTTATTACAGTACAAAACATTTCATTGCGTCATTAATCCATTCAAGACATGGATTTTGTCTACTTGGGAGGAGTCCTACCTCGAACAAACTTTGCTTTGACATCTGTGGGTGTTTGCCTCCCGAAGTTAGTCTCTCGGTCTTCTTCAATCCTCTCGAAAACGCTCACGCTACTCTCAAGGGAAGGCATTATCCACAGCTTCCTCCACCTGAAAAACCCTTTCCTCTTATCCATTAATTTCTCTATTTGCATCTGCATTGCCAGGCATTGGCTCTGGACCCTCAGTAGCTCTTCTTTCAGCTTCTTTATCTATATTTGTTGAGCGTTGATTTCTCGTTTCGACATGCAGTCTTTGCAGTCCCAAACTCCTTTTGCTTTTGTGCAATTCCTCAAAATGTGTTTTGTAATTTCACGAACTCCCTGGCAGTCTTTGCAGTTCGTGTCTTGAGCCATATTTTTCTTAACTCTGTTCTCATTCGTGTTTAACCTGTGTAGGTGACTCAAGCAGATGAATAGCCTTACACGTTCTGTGTTTTCTACATTCCAAATCTATTATAGATCCTGATTTTGTTGTCTTGCTTGTTCCCTAATTATGATCTCTTTAAAAGTTGTCTTCACCGAAAATTTTTCATCTATTGTATGGCCCCAACTTGATTTGTCTTGTTCATGCTCCTCATTCAATAAAGGTAGTGGAATACTTCTGATCAGATTCATTGTATCCTCTGAGACAACCTTTTGGAGCTCTTGAGTATTCCAATTTCTTTCCTCGGTGATATATTTTGCTACTTTTTCATCTCTATCATCAATTCTTTCGGGATAATCTTCACCAGGAGGTATTTTACCCACCCACCAATCATGCCAGAAATTCGTTTGTTCTCCAGAGCGGATCTGTTGTTTGCACCCTTTCTTCACAATCTCTCTGGTTCTTAAAATTCCCTTCAACGTTGATGATGAGTTAGCTTGATGCCTGGCATCCATTAAGTTTACATCCTTTGGGTATTTTTCTTTGAAGATCTTACACCAAAGAGCATATTGGTTGTTCCATTTTCTCCATTCGTTCTTAGCCATCAACGCGAGATTCGTATCTTTCGTTCTACGTATTCCAAGTCCTCCTGCCGATTTAGATTTGCATACTGCCTCCCAATTAACCAAATGATTGTGAGAATAATCGGTTTCACTTCCCCAAAGAAACTTACGATTTAAAATGTATTCGAAAGGAAAGAGTTCTAATTTTAATTAAATTAAAAATTATCAAATGAAAAAAAATCCTACATAAGGAAAAAAGAAATAAAATATAGAAAATACTTGTATTAGATAAAATTAAAAGTTTATAACTCAAAAAAAAAAAATTAAGGGACACCTCGGTAATATATATATAATTTAAGAGGAAAATGCTAATCAAGTCCTAGATAAAAAAAATATTTTAAAAAGTAAATGTATATTATGTTATTTGGATTTTTTTAATTATCTATGTTTAACACTTGTGTACGATGTATGGATGCGAAGTTATTATTTATAAGAATACTCCAAATAGATAATAATCTTAAAAATCTTTGGATTTAAAAAAAAAGTGTTCAAACTATATATATATTTTTTAAAATAATGCTTATTTTTTTCAGTTAATTCAGGTGTCTAATGTTACAAACGTTACCACTTTAAGTGTCTCAGCTATAACGACCGTTTAAAAAACTCATTAAATGATATATGTCATATTCAGGTAATTTTGAAATTTAAAAAAACTTAAAAATATTATTATATTTTAAAAAACTCTAATTTTTCTAAAATTATAAAAAAGTCCCAAATATCTAAAAATCTCAAATCCCTAATCCTAATCTTAACCCTAACCCTAACCTTACCTCCCTTGCCGACCACGACCGTCGACGTCGACGCTGCCCTTGCCATATCTCTTTTTTGTTGTTGTAAGTCCTGTCGTCGGTATGGTCGTCAGAGTCGTCATGCGTCATGAATTCCAAACGTTTTGTTCCTCAGGTTTATATTCAATTTTATCGTTGCGTGGGGTTTTCAGATGGCTGGTCGTTTGGTATCTGATCGTCGGGTGAAGGTGTATTCGAGAGTAGGCTTGGTCGATAACTACAACGACAAAAGTGATGATCGACGTTGGTATGGGATAAAAATTAAGATTTTCAAAGTTTTTGGGTTTTTTTTTTTTTAAATTTTTGGTAATTTTGAGGTTTTTTAATACAAAATATTTTTATTTTAAATAAAATTTTCAAAATTATATAAACGCGACACGTGTCATTGAACAAAATATTTTAACGATTTTTATGAACCGAGACACTTAGAGTGATAACGTTTGTAACGTTAAATATTTGGATTGATCGAAAAGATTTAGACACCACCTTGAGAAAAATGACATAAACACTTTTTATGTTAACCCAAAATTTAATTATATTTATATTGAATTCATATTCATATTCATATCGAATGCTAATACTCGAGATCAAATAATATAAAATATATTTTTAATTTAAATATAAATTTTAAGTTTAAAAAATGATGAAAATTCACTAAATCCTTTGTATGTATGCGCAAATTGACTTTTTATTTTCAAAAGAAGAAGAAATTGAATGAGATTCCTTCAAAAAAGAATTAGTCTACAAACTTGGGAGACAATTTTGACTAGAATTCTTGACATATAAAATAATATAATTATAATCTCTTTACTGCGTTTAATTTAAATTTAAAATATTATATAATATACTTAATTTATTTTTATGATGTTTATGTTTAGTTAGATAAGCATATCTAAATTTAAAGATAGAGATAAATCCTAATTTTTAAAACCTAAAATAACAAGTAATTCCATACATAACTAACTAAACCTCAGATTACGACTCCGTTAGTCTATTTGGTCATAATAATCTTATCAGAGGCGTCCAATTCTAACGGCCTCCCTTAACGCCCAATCGATCTCATCATAACTGTCCGATGATCGTAATTCTCACTCCCTCTACCGTCCGATCTCATAATTCCATCTAATCCATTTATGAAATCCCTGGCCCCTATATAGAAGTATAAACCTATCATCAACGACCTTTCCTAAAATTCATTGCGTCTTTTCTTCCTAAAAATTCAATTCAACAATTTTATTTCCTTTTTTTATACTGAAAATCAAATTGACCAATCATGAGATTCAACAAAGGCAGCAAAGTTGAGGTACTAACCAAGAACGAGGCTCCAACCGGCGCGTGGCGCTGTGCCGAGATTATCTCCGGCAACGGCCACACTTACAGCGTGAAGTACGGTTGGCTTCCGATCACCGTCGAGGCAGCTCCGGTGGAGAGAGTCCCCAGGAAAGCGATTAGGCATTGTCCTCCTCCTATAAACGGGGCCGATGATTGGGTTCCCGGCGACGTCGTTGAGGTGTTCGACGATTTGTGCTGGAAACCGGCGGTGATCGTTAGAGTTTTCGGTGGAAACAACTTTTCCGTTAGGATTATTGGATCGAGTAGCGTACTCAATGCACATCAATCTCGATTGCGTGTACGACAATCTTGGGAAGATGGCAGATGGTTCCTTGTTGGAAAGGTAATTCTATTGAACTTTTCTTTAAACTATAAGTTTTGATATATTTCTTTAACTTCTTTTACTGTACGTTATTGATTCTTACCCTCATTATTATGTTCGATAACAGGGCTCGTCGAATTCGTCTGGACCACCGAAGAGGAAAAGATCATTGCTTGGCTTCTCGGATGCTGGCGGAAAGAAGACGAGGGTGATTGAAAAAGGTAGTATTGGTGGTCAAAGACTAATAGTTCGGCTACCTCGTCCAGCTTCTGAAAAGGTAGATGCATTCGTTTCCCCAAAAAATATACTGGGTGAAAGATGTATGCCTTCTTCATTTCGTAGAATTGATGATACCAATGATACCATGAGTTGTGCGTCATCTGTTGGTAGTTGTAGTGGTTTAGGGAATAATGGTCTTAACTTGTCTCCTAGTTATGTAACAAAAAGTTGTGAAAACTTAGAGGTTTACTGTAGTGACGCTGACTCATATTCTGAAAGGTGTTGTAGAGAAGAAGGAATTTCTTTTTCCACTAGTGTGGAATTGGGAACAGATTTCCATAGGTCGGAGCTGCATGCCTATCAGAAAGCACTGGGGGCATTGCATGCTTCTGGGCCTTTGACTTGGGAAAAAGAAGAAAAGGTGACTAACCTACGTCGTTCTCTTAATATTTCAAATGATGAACATTTGAGGGAGCTAAGAAAGTTGAGACATGATGATAATAGGTTTTTTGTTAGTTGTTGCTAGATTTAATGAATTACATCTCTATCTGGTAATTCGACCGTGTTATGTTTTACTTCAATGATGTAGATATTGTAAAGATACTTGAGTTTTCAATTGTGTAATTGCTTTATTAGTTTCTTCTATTATTTTCATGAAAAAGGCTTTTGTTCTTTATGTAATTCTTTTAGTTTAGATTTAAGCTTATATATATTTAAGCATCCTTTTTCTGTTTTTTTCTTTCCGTTTTTGCTTTTGACCTTTCGTAAATGTTGCATATTGTTGGGCGGATATTTCAGCACAGTAAAATCTATTATCCCTTGTGAAACTGTTGAGTTACATTGAATACAAAGAGGTGAATTACATTCTTAGCCGCTTGAAGATTTCCTAAATTGAATTTAAGCATATACAAATTCAATTTCCAGAAACAGTAACATGAATTGTATGTTTCAGTCTTTCCCAGCACATTGATATTCACAATTTTGTCCTCTAACTCTAAAATTACTTTGACCTTGTTCCTGGTCTTTACCCACAAAAACGACCTTTCTTTCTAGTTCAGTAGCTGCTGGGATTTTGGAAATTGTGGTGTGAAGTTGGCTGGTTTATGATTCTAGCTAGTGTTTCATACATTTCCAGTTTTATGTATGTGTAGCTATTCTACATCATATCATCATGATGTACAATTCTTATAATTGCTTTATTTCAGCAGCATATGGAATTAATGTTGAGAAATATCTTGATGCTTTCTCTGAATATCTCATGGCCAATGTTGGAGGCATCGATACTTTCCTTCTAAAGCCATGATGGATTGAGTATGTCATCTCTTACAGTTGACCAGGGGACAACATCCATGGTTTATTCCTAAAGGAAGCCTTAAGCCTCGCTTTTGGTATGAATTATTTCTAAAAATATTTCAACATTCTGATTTATCTATGGAAATGCCAGTATAGGTCACTGTATTCCTTGTTGCAGAAAAACAAGATAATCTTAAAAGCTGGCCTATACTTTAGCATGTAAATTGTTAGGTTGCAGGTGCACTTATGGAAAGACAATTTTATCTTCTTCTATCCCCTCTGCCCCCACCCCCTAAAGAGTAAATGAGAATTTTAGATATATCCCGTAGCGGAAAGGTTTTGTATCTCTAGAAAGTACATATCCAATAGCGGAACAATTTTGGTAGGATGGTTAATAAATTTATATCTCGCTCTCGCTTCTTTTGAGCAAATACTTCTAAACTTAAATTCTTGAGTAGTGAAAAGAATTTGCTACCATCAGATATTTTAATTTTTGAGAATGCAATGTGCCCACTATGCAATATATATATATTATATATATATATATATATATATATATTTTGTTCGGATGTTAGATATTCACTATTAACTATAGGTATTTCACATTCACCACTAAATAGGGATCTAGCAAATTCATGCATTTTAAAATAATCGTGAAAGCTATAATATAATTTATACTAATAATTGAAGTCCAAATTCCTCCTTTTTAGGTTCAAGTTACGAAACACAACCTCGTGATTTCAGTAGTTATTCTAGATGCAGCTTGTCTTTTAATGTGTTACGTTTGGTTCCTTTGTTGTTGGATGGATACAACTGCATTAAGCTATCCTCGTTGCAATGCCCAAGTCTGAAATGCTTATGATCCATTTATTGAATAACATGAAAGAAACACGAAGCTTTTTTTTAAAAAAAAAATTACAAGTCCATTTCCCCTATTTTATGCTTTTTCACATTTTCAGGAAGTTGTTGATGGAAAGAATTTCATGAGTGATGATGACCATTCATTCCACCAAATATGAAATTTAGCTGTGCTTTCATTGGTTCATATTTCAGATATGTGAATTGCATGTGTGTGTCTTGGTAGTTATTTTAAAATGGAGATAGCTTTGTGGCAGGCTGAGATATGGGTTTGTGTTTCATGTGGAGCATATTTGGTGACTTGGATATCATAGTTAGGACTTCACTATCTCCTTGGTTTGGTAGGTTTTGAAGCTATGGTGTTTGGTGATGGGCAACTTAGAAATTGTAGTGGTTGTCAATTTAGAGCTTTATTTATTTTTCCCTCATAAATTATTGTTCAATTCTTCAAGGAATTCATTCATCGACCCCACCTAGCTTTTGCAAGGGCAATTTTATGTGGCATGAAGTTGGGTTCAAAGGAACATAAGACCCTCTCCACAAGATTCTAGTCTACCCCACATGAAGTTGGATTCTTGGATGAGCATTAGGATCCTGTGTGTTCAAGTTTAAGCTTCACCATACTTGATATTCTTGGTTGGTTCTCAATTCAAATTTATTATTTATGCGTCATGTTTAGAGTTGTTTTGTTTTAAATTTAGATATATTGCGACCATCATCTCGTATGTCTGTGCATAATAATTGATTCTTTCATTATAAAATTATAATATTGTTTTTCCCCTAGTTCATAAGATACCCATTGAAAATAAATATTTTTATTGATTAAATTACATTTTTAAATATGATGCATTTAGCATAAGGGTTGATCTTGTTATTTGATTTATGTTTTTAAAGTGTTTGGTCATCATTGCTTAGTGGGATCGGATTAATCGCATATTTGTGCGGATTTCATGTATTTTATTCTAATTATCATTTACAAGTTGTTTCGTGTTGTATATAAATTCATGTTTTTAACGTGATTTGTTATGCACAAATAATTAGTTTCATGTATTTATATATTTATATTTTTTTACGTTATAATTTATTTCAATTATTTTTAATGTTGTATTTTCTGTGTAACTCAGTTTCTTTAATATTTGTAAAACGTTTTAGTTTAATTTTTCGTTTATTTAATCTTTAAAAAAGTTTCTACGTTTACTTTTATCTTAATAAACCATAGAAATATAATAATTGTTTAATATAATTAAACTTAAATTTTAGATTTATAATTAATTATTTAATTCCCGAGAGTAGCGGGGATAAATATCTAGCTAAAGAAAAAAAACTATACAAGCGCGTAATTGCAATCCTTATATTTTACAATGGAAAAGGCCTAAAAGTTGGTATATGAATATCTATAGAAATTAATTATTAAAATTTATATATGTATAATTTAACTCATATAAAATTAATTTTTTGATGTAAAAATCATTTAGTTTATTATGAGTAATTTTCTGAAAAATGGGTTCTTTTTTTTTAAAAAAAAACCTCAATTTAGAGGAAATATTTATTTCGCTGATTTATACGTCATTTTTTTAATGATCATGTTTTTTTATATAGATACTGATCATGTTTTCTATGAAACAAACTATTCTTAATAAAATATTAAAGTTCACACACATAACAAATAATTGGTTAACTTTTTAATCTTCATAAAATAAAATAAATAATGTCAACTCAATTTTTTTATTATAACAAAGATAAAGATCAAATTTAAAAAAACAGAAATGAGTGTATTTTATTTTGATTAGTACGTGATCATAAAGTAATATTTATTCAAAAATTTCTTAATTAATTGATAACGTATATAGTTTACTAGTGTATTTTTATATTTCTAAAAAGTTCGAATAGTGAGTGATTAGTAAATCTCATGGCTGTTATTTATTTTTGTATTTTGAATGATGAATTATTGGTCTACTAACGTGGGAGCCAACTTTGACTCTATCTACCATTCTTTCCTTCACACCTCTGTTTTGAAAATCAGATCGGATCGGTCGGTTTAATCGGAAATTGTTGTTTAATCCGGTTTAATCTAAATCGATTAAACCGTTATTAGTGAACTTGTCAGAACCGCTGAACCGTTCGAACCAGACCGGCTGAAAATCGAAAAAAACCTGGATTTTTTTTAAAAAAATAAGCCAAACAACGTCGTTTGTTAAACGAGCCAAGTCGAACTCGAGTATTTATAGAAGTTAGTTGTGATGCGCTTCTATGTTTCTTAGCAATGTGAGATTGTTTTGTTCTCATATTTTTACTCTTTAGACTTTTGGGATGCTCTTCTATGTTTCTTAACTATGTAAGATTGTTTTTTTTTAAATTAAACCAAACAATATCATTTTGTTATGATTTTTTAACCCCAAATTTATTTTTTAATTATAGTTATATAATTATATTTAATATTTAATATGTTTTACCGTAAATATTATGTTATAGTTAATTTGAATCATTTTTTTCACTTGATTTTATGGTTTTTAACTTATATATGTTATGACTTGCTTTGAATATGACTTGTGATATAAAAAATTATTTTTTATTAAATATTTTTGGTATTTTTATTTAATTTTTTAAATAATTATGACGTCGTCCGGTTCTTCCGACCAGTCAAATCAATTCGACTGATTAAACCAATGAACTGATAGCATGACCGATTCGCTAACCGGTCCGATTCTGAAAATCATGCTTCACACAACAAATGTTCTTTTGATATTTTAACGAAAATATATCTGAAAATTAGGTTCAATATTATTTTGATATTTTAACTTGATGCATCTTTCCAAAAATTATTGATGTGACATCTTTGAATGATGAAATATTAGGCGCATCATATGTACTTGTAACTAATATTTGTTGCTTAATTTATATATGAATTATGATCGATTTATATTTAGTGTAAAATTTTTAATTTATAATTTTTACCGAGAAATCAAAGGTTGAGATTAACTCTTTTTTCTAGTGAATATTTTTCATTTTTTACTGTTAATTTCAATCTTTGATTTCTCTGATCTAACTCTCATATCGAATATTTAACATAATTGAAATCTTGGAATTTTGAACCTAAGATTAAAGATCTTGGTTGAACTAAATAATTTAACTATATGTTATCTTCTGATTTGTAAATTAAAAGAGATTTAACTAAATAATTTAGATGTCATGTTAATTTATCAAAAAAAAAGTATTTACTGTAAATTTAATCCTATAAAATGACATAAATTTGTTAATATTTAGTATTAGTTCTATTTAAAATAATTGTTTAAAATATAAAATAATAATTCATAATTGATTTCTAACATTCATATTTTTAAAATAAAATAAATATCATTTGTATACAAAATTTAATTCACTCATAACTCCCAAACTCTTAAATTGAAAATTATTGTAGTCTTAAATAACCTTAAATTTATAGGCCAGTTGGAGGTTGACAGGAACTATGGCCCTCCTAAAATAGTTAAATTAAGTATAAGTCCTTCTAAAAATCAAAAGATTACAAACTAATACATGATCAAACTACTTTTTGGCCTCCACAAAATTACAAAGTTGTAATTCAATTATTCTAAAAATTATAAAATTAAAATCCAATACACATACTAAAATTACACCTTGACTCTCATAAAAAAATATATAATTCAAGTTTAATTCGTAAAAAAAAATATGACTTTGTCTCTTCTCAAATCCGTAATAAAATAAATATAAAGATTATAAATAAATGAAAAAGTATAAATATATAATTTATAAATATATTATAAAATATATATAAGCAGCTAACTCCTGTGAGTTTTTAGCTGGCAAGGAACGGCTTAACCTAAGCGTCCTCGTCCTGACCGTCAGATGCATTGGGTGATCCCTCATTTATTAACCGTCGGATCATCACAAACACTTCTGATTTAACTAATAAAACCCTTATCCCTATATAGACTCCATTCTAACTCTCCTTCCCAAGTTTATTCCTTTGATTTCTTTCACAAAATTGTTCCCAATTTCAGTAATTCCTGCGATTTTTTCTGTTACCCTAATTTCACTGATTATAATCGAAATCCCCCATCATGAGATTCATGAAAGGTAGCAAAGTCGAGGTCCTTACAAAGCAGGAGATTCCAACAGGATCCTGGCGTTGCGCCGAGATTATCTCTGGCAACGGTCGCACTTACAGCGTCAGGTACGGTTGGTTTCCAGTCACTGGCGAGGCGGGGACGGTGGATAGAGTCCCTAGGAAAGCGATTAGGCCTTGCCCTCCTCCTACAAACGGGGACGATGATTGGGTTCCTGGCGACGTCTTAGAGGTGTTCGACGAGTTGTGTTGGAAACCGGCCGTGGTCGTTTGGGTTTTCGGTGGAAACAAATTTTCTGTCAGGATTCTTGGATCGAGTAGAGAACTGGAAGTACATCGATCTCGTCTGCGTGTTCGACAATCTTGGGAAGATGGCAAGTGGTTCCTCGTTGGAAAGGTCTGTTTTTTCCTCAATAATTTTATCTATTTCTTTATTTCCTTTTATTTATTATAAGTTATTGATTCTTACCCTAATCGTTATTTTGATAACAGGGTTCGTCAAATTCCTCATCTAAGAGAAAAAGATCTTCGCTTGACTTCTCGGATGCCGGTGAGCAGAAGAAGATGGCTATCGAAAAGGGTAGTGTTGATGGTAAAAGGATAATCGTTCGGCTTCCTTTTCCAGCTTTTAAAAAGGTAGATGCGTTTGTTTCCCCAAATAATATACTGGGTGAAAGAAGCACGCCTTCTTCCCTTTATAGAATTCATGATACCAGTGATAGCTTGAGTTGTGCATCGTCTGTTGGTAGCTGTAGTGGTTTAGGGAATAATGGTCTTAACTTGTCTCCTGCTTATGTAACAAACGGCCGTGAGAACTTAGAGGATTATTGTAGCGATGCTGACTCTTATTATGAAAAGAAATGTGGAGAAGAAGGTAGTTCTGGTTGCACCAGTGAAGGAATGGGAATGGGTTTACACAGGTCGGAGCTACATGCCTATCAGCAAGCCCTTGAGGCATTGTATGTTTCTGGTTCTTTGACATGGGAATAATGGTAGCTGTAGTGGTTTAGGGAATAATGGTCTTAACTTCTCTCATGCTGATTTTGTAGTTGCGTTGTGTCTCAATATTAACTCAACAGAGTAGAAGGCTACTTCCTCTAAGTGATAATTGTTGACTGTTGAAAATATCTTTTAAATGAAAAGAAGTGCAAGTACATTTTAGTTACTGGGAAGGACACTGATGTATTCTGTTGTATAAGTACCCAATTTTCAGAAAATTGCATCTAGTTGAGCCTGATTTTCTGAAATATTTTATTTTTACTCTTTTGTCTCTGAATTTATCTTTGATTTTCATAAATATGGCTCTTGTAAATTATGATGTTGTGCTGGCTGGTTTAATGATTCGACCTGGAATTGTATATATTTGCAGTTTTATATATGTTATCGCATCGTCTTTTGAAGGTGGGTATAAATTTTATACTTTTCTTCATTTCAGTGGTATCTGGAATTTATGTTGGGGAATATCCTGATGCTTTTGCAGAGTATCTCATTGTCACTGTTGGAGGCATCCATACATAGCTTCAAAAGCCATGATTGGGTTTAAGTTTGGCACCTCTTGCAGTTGACCCGTGGGCAACATACATGGTTTATTCCCTAATGGATCCCTTAAACCCTGCTTTTGGTACGGATTTTTCTATAAAGCTTTTCGAATTTGGATTTGTCTTTTGAAATGCTGGTATAGATCATTATATCTGTTGCCACTTCCGATAAATCAAAATAATCTTAAAAGACGACCTTCAATTCAAGTTGTATTAAGCATAAAATTTGGTATTTTGGGATGATTATTTCCAATAACAGAACCTTTAAGGCTGCATAATTGATAAATTGCTCTGAACCTGCATTCTAATTTGAATTTGATAATTTGTGGCCGTAGCTGCATTAATTTTTCTTAACAAGTTTGTACATACTGAAGATTTTGGACAAGTTGAAATCGGTGTTTACGTACCATGACGAAACGGTGCTTTTACTTCACAAGCGGTTTTTGATTTTGCTAGATGGGTACATATGAGCCCCGTCAAAGATCTCCCAGTTTGAAAATCATCACCTGTGTTACACAGTATTACTTGTTTTCTTTTTCATGGATTCTGCATGACGAAAGATCCATGCTGTGATTAAAATGTTGGTTTTCCTTTATAATGTACAGTGCATGAGAATATGCAGGTAACACATTCTTTTCCCAAATCATTATCAGCGGTTGATGCTTAGTGGGACATTTTAGATCATGTTTGAGTAGAAGTGGTTTATCAGAAATTCAGATATTAGATTCCTATTTATTGTCGTTGCATGCAGTATGGACTTTGGTTGCTTCAGTTCATACCCTTCGGTATTAGGTAGGTTTCTTGTAATTGGCAAGTTCTGTTTGCTATTTATATTGGATGCTTTGGCTACCAGTTAACTTCATGTTTAAGAAATATGAATGCTTTGGCTAAGGTATGTTTATCAAAAAGCCTCTTTATTCTCATAATCATAACATGCTGTGGTTAATTGGCCTTCAATTTAAATTCGTCCATGTTTATTGTTACATGTGAAACTACAGATCATGAGGCAGAGACATACTGATAGAGGAACCTTAACGGTTGTTTCTACCGGAGTGGAATTTCAATTTGATACCGAGACTCATGAATTCATGAACCTCTTGATATTGGTTTCTTGTGTTGCCTAATGCCATTGTTTAATTCTAAATGTGGAACATGTTAATATTTTAACATCATTTTAAAAAAGGAAAACTGGAATTTTATTATTGTTCATAGGTTGACCTTGTAAAGTGTACTAATGACTAGCATTAAAATTATGATAGTTTTTTATTGTAGAAACTATTTTTTTTAATAATCTGTTGTGGTTTATTGTAGTATATGTCTTTATCTTGATTGGATAAACTCACGCACATCTTACAGATAAACTCAAACTCGGGCGAGTGAGAGGCTCATGCCAACTGAGACCATTCCTCAAGGATCATTTTTTAAACGGTTGTAATCACAGGTGAGCAATTTTCAGACACTAAGCAACTTCACATCATCCAACACCAGTCCGCAAAAGAGAACCCGAGTTATCACTTAGCATGGTGTGAAATGTTCTATAGAATATGATCCGAGTATGTGTCGACTTTGCCCTGAACTCAAGTCTAGCTGGAGTTGTCAGAAACCTTGGTAGTGTTTCTGCCTTAACTGCTTCTACCTTCGCATGCATAATGAGAGCACATAGTTTTCTGGCAACCGCACTTTCGTTTCCGGTAATGTGTTCAATGGCCCGTTTGCCCTTGGAAAGTGAGAAATGTTCACTGTCAATGTACTTGATTCCTTTCAGCAGCCGGATAAAGTACTGACCGTCTTCAGTCTGCAGTGGAATGATAACACATTCGGACGTTGGGTTCTGGAAGATAAATTTAATCCCATATAAATAATATAAAATTTATTCTCACATTTTAATTTTCAATTAACTTCGAAATTATTATTGATTGTTGATCTAAATTATAAAATCGCTTATATCAAGTTGACTTTTAAATGCTGTATGTATAATAATAATTTTCAATTAATGATAATTTTTATGTATTTTCAATGATTAAAGGTTAAATTAACAAAAATACAGTAAACATAGATGATTAAAAAAAGAGGTTATTTCATCTTTTTCATTGCTATTAGGTTGAACAGTAATAGGAGAAACCAAGATCTTTCAACAAGGATAATAAAAATATAAAGTCTTAAAATTGAAGCATATGATTAACTTTTAAACTTTGAAATAATAGATCTTTATTGTATTTGAACTATAAAAATATAGTTGAGTTGGGAGGGATATTGTTGAATTGAAGTAGTACACTAGTCTCTTTGTTATCCTGCAGATAAAAAAGATTATCTTGTTGAATTTAACAGATTAAATTGAGTTAATAAAATGGATTGCCATCTCTCTTGAAGAAGACGAACTTGAGAGCACCAAATCTATTCTGTAAGAGTTGTTTTGTTTAATGTAATTCTAATGTTATTTCTTTCTTGTATGAAGTGTTTGCTGCGTTCGGTAAGGTGTGTAAGAATTGTCACTCCACAATCTTTGAGTTTATTGGATTGATGAACTTTGGTATTTGATAGGAGCAATCTTATAAAATTTTAGAGGCGAAAACAAAATACAAATATAAAATACAGTGAAAATATCTAAATTATATGATAATTTAAAAATTTTCAAAGGGCGACCGCCCTACATAGTCCTTGATCCATCCCTGGGTCAGTCTAAACCCTCATTGTTTTTGTTACCCCTAAATGGACGAAACACATTGATTTGTTGCCTGAGCAATGCAACAATCAATTTTCAAACAGTTTTAATTACAGGTGATGCAATCTTCGGATACTAAGCAGCTTCACATCATCCAAAACAGGTCCACAAAGAGAACCGGAGTTGTCACTTTTCATGGTGTAAAATGTGCTATAGAACATAATCCGAGTTCGTTCCGACTCCGCTCTGAACTTTAGAATAGCTGGTTTGAATCCTCCTTTGCCCTTGGAGTTATACGACACCTTGACAGTGTTCTTGCCTGCAAATGCTTCGAGCATCATGGGACCTTCGCATCCGTTCTTAGCATCACCAACAGCAAATGTGAGCGCATAGGTACTCCCGATTGTCGTCTTAACTATCTGTGCAACCGCACTTTCTTTTCCGCCGATCAGTTCGATGGCCCGTTTGCCCTCAGGAACAGTGTAATGTTCACTGTCAATGTACTTAATGGCTTTCAGGGATTCAATTATCCAGCCGGGTAAAGGACTGTGATCATCTTCGATTTGGGGGGGAATTATAACTCCTTCGGAAGTCGGTTTCGGGAAGATATAAGGACCTTCTTCGAAATTTCCGTTCTTTAGTAGATTGGCTGCAAATGGTTGAATCAAGCAATCAGTTAGTGAATCATGAACTTCAATTTCAAAAATATCAATTGATGGATCGATCGGTTTTATGTACCTCGGGTACGTTTCGGAGGGTACAAGGTCTTCAATGCGACGGAATCGATAAGAGGGCCACAAGCTGCATCTTCCTCCACACCGGGGTTATGAATCGAGATCTCGATTTCGGACTCGTCTGCTTGGAAAGCCCAAGCATACGAATCCCATCCATTGCTGCTATACATTGTTTGAATCGGTAATAAACCAAAGTCATTTTTCTCGTAGTTCGGCGAGATCGACACGTTCAATCTTTCCTCTTGTGCACATGTGCGAGCCGCGCTGAAGGTTAGAGAGTAAAACATGCCCTTGGTGACCTTAATCTTCTGCTTAATGAGGGCCTCATTGCCTAGCCTAACCGCAAATGCACCTTCGGGTACTATTAGCAACATGTCACCTTGTTTATGACCTGATTTTATGTACTCAACATAGCCTGAAATTTCCCAGTTGGGAATGGCTTTGGGGCTCATCACTTTTGTTCCTTTCAGTTCTGACGGCTTTGGCCCATACTCGAAGTTCCCATTCGGCAACAAACCTAAGAAGGACAGACGTAAGATTTTATGTTAAGAAGGTTGAACTTATAAAGTTTCAAGAGACGAACACATTAATAAAAAATGAAAAAAAAGTTAAATCATATAAAAATTTAAAATTTTCAAAGATTTTGCCAACTCTCTCGATCCATCGATGCTGAGAATAATGTTCAATAACCAAATGTTGTTGATGCGTCAGCATTTTAAATAACTCTTTTCTTATACTATCATTCATTCCCATTCATCCGTCAGCAATTTATTATTCACCGGAATATTTCAGCAAACTTTGGATTATTAAATACAGCTAAATATCATACAGGTGCGGATATAACAGGTATATCGGAACGCAGCGCTATCGTTATTTCGGGCGCTATAGCGATCGCAGACCGATATTTAAATGCCGGGTACCGAGATTAATAAAACTCAAAACTTTGTAATTGAAGAAATGCAGAAAGTAAGAGATGTTTGAGATGCTTAGGCTTTACCATCTTTGACAGAGGAAGCTATTTGAGAAGTGGCGCAGAGTAGCATTAAGAACACAGCGATCTTCTCCATCGTGAAAGAAAATGAGAGAAATGAAAATGAATGGAAATGACGAGTGCTGGTGTTGGGCTTTTATGTTCTTTGCTCTAAACAAAAGCCATTAATGTTTGCTCAAACTACATCACTGCCACTGCAGTAACTATCATATATTCCCTCTGGCCAGAGTTGAAAATCCAACATATTGTTCGATAATATTTAAAAAATAAAATAATTGAAATTTGCTGTTTGAAAATAAATTTTGAATTTTATATTTTTTAAGTTGAAACTAAAAGGCGTATTTGAAGAGTCGTTTTACAACTTAGTTTGAATGTAATTATACAATTATTATATATTGGATAATCATCGTAATTACAATTAGGTCTTTAATTATATTAATCAATTTTATCACTGTTAACGTACACACACTCTGCAGAAATAATTGTTTGGCCAAATCATTCAGAAAAATAACATTTCATTCTATCACTTAAGTTACTTGATAGATTCTCTTTATATAAAATGTAGCTGACCCTATTCCCATATGTAATGAGATAAGGGGAGGTAGGATAGTAGACTGCCCCCAACGCCAGGTTGAGAGCAGCTTCCGTGGGAGATCTCCGACAGTCAGAATTATAAATTGCCCACCGTAGGACTCGATCCCACGACCACAAGATTAAGATCCTTGCACTATTACCAACATTTCATTCTATCACCTAAGTTACTTGATAGATTCTTATATGTTTTCTTTATATTGAGATATGATTTCCTCTTTCTGTATATATAATTCCGTAATATTTGGGAGTTGATTCGAATATTAATACTAATAAATTAATTAATTGGTTTGGGGATTTTCTTTATAATAGATGACGTGCTTGAAAATTAATTTCAGATTTGGTGTTCATTTGGTGGAGGTTGATTCCGACAAATTGTTCAAAACCACATGGACTAAACGGCAAACTGTTGCATTGTCGGTCGAGGCTAATTAATTTTGTTATTTCCAGATCAATTTTCAATATTTGAGGTTAATCAAACGTCAACTCTAATTATTCCTTTGAACATAATAATTTTAAGGCTCGTGGTATTGAAAAAATTCTTAAATATTTTCCCCTTTAATTAATCTTTATATTTAGAAATTTAATATCAACGACTTATTATAGAGTAAGCGATTAAAAATTCTCAGTTGATACCTCTACTCATTTTTAAGTTGTGGTTCAATACTAATTAAAGTAAAATTCTCCTTCCCCTTTCCTAATAAAAATTGTTAAAAAAAATTATTAATATATTTTTATCTATCAATATTGACGGTTAAAATTAATATTATTTTATCAATTGATATCACACGTCATGTTACAATGTTATCAAATAGTATTTTTTTAACTTATTGTTTTTAAATTATTTTACGACACATCATATTATTACACAATACACATCAATCCTTACATGACAATTAATAAATTTTATAATAATTTTATTGGAAGAAAATGTGATTAGTATATATTGATATGTTAGAATGAGAGTAATATTTTAAAAATAAAATTAAAAGATTTAAAAGATTAAAGATCAATTTAAAATAATTTATAATTTAAAAATAAAATTATAATATTTAAATTAATTTAGAATGACAATCATAATTAAAAAAACGTAATTGCAATTAACTCCAAAAATATTTTGAGAAAGATACATGGATAACGGAAAGATATACCTTGAGTGATTGGGATCGGATTGCCTTTTCTTTAATTAAATTACTCGTCTTGGGGGGGTTGACAGCAAAACACGAGAATCAAACTAAAATGTGACATTTGGAAGAGAATCTATATATATAATGCAACATTCAGATCTGAATATGAACTATGGAAGCAAGGCATGTGCAATTGCAAGTGAGAATTTTGATCTAGTTTGGACTCTTTTTATTATTTTAATGCTTTTCTTTTGCATCTTTCCTTCGTTGGTCGGCAATGGTTTTCAAGTTTATTAATGTTGGCATGTGCCATATGAGACTCTGAGATTGGAATTTGGGAAGAAGCTATCAAGAAGCTGCATATGTTGTTGCATGTTAAAAGTTTAAACAATTTTTTCCCAGGAAAATCTGGGTTCCAAAAGAAAATTGTATGGATTTACTGGAAAATGATTTCACTGTTCAATGCATGATGAATAAGATTTGCCAATTTGTGTGACTTTCATATTGTATTAATTTCATTTTGTAGTTGTGTTCAAAACTAATGTTAAATATATATTTATATATGGATATACTTCATTGATAAAAAAATTATAGATTTAATTTTTATACAATAATTAAATTATTTACAGCCTCACATATATCTAAATTAGCTTGAGAAACACAGCGACAACTAGAAATAGTTCACCTGAGTCCCTATCGAGAAGCCCGAGCCATTGCAACGGAAATCCGATCATGTTTTCAAACTTAACCATCGATCGAGAGGCGACTCGGTTGCACACTAGAAGTGTTGTGCTATGGATGTACAAAGAAGATAAATATCACAGTGCTTTAACATGATAAGACTGTTCTGATTTCATAATCTCAATGACATGCTAAAATCAGAAACTGATGCTTTGTTATGATCTTATATGTCTGCAGGCAAAGAGTTGAACATCCGATGTTATCGTGAAGTCGGGATGGAAGAAGCGAACAAAGATTACATTTGAAGGAGGGGAAAATGAATTACCTAGATCATATGCAGCTGATGTAACTTTTGTGATCGTGGAGAAACATCCGATGTTCGAAAGATATGGTGATGATTTGGAGTTAAACGATCGAAATTCCTCTGGTGAAAGCTCTAACAGGTTGTACTCTTCCCGTACCTTTACTGGAATGGGAGGAAATGGAACTGAGAGAAGACGAAATCATTCACCCTAATTATGAACTATGACTACATGGTATATATTATCTGGTTACTTGTTTTCACTGTAAAATATAGTAGTTCCAATTTATAGATCATAAAATCTATTGGTTTACGAACTATGGTTACTTGAAATGTGTTATATAGTTTTCTGTTTTCACTGAAAAATATAATTGTTCCTGATTTATATATGAACTGTTTTATTGGGACATTATCTAGGTAGGTTGGAGTCTGGAGATTCAACTTTGATCAAACTGATAAATCCTTACAGGCCTCCTGAAAACTTGGTACTTTGAATGTTTCTTATGAACTGAAATTTTCATGGCTTTTACTCGATGAAATATTAGTGGGACCTCAACTCATCACAAAAATATGTAGATGTCTGAATTAATAAGGAAAATTATGCTTGCCTATTATTTGCATGTTCTTCCGTTCCGCATCACTTGGTAGTTCTGTATTACTGAGCTTCTCAAAGCTCACTCTGTTACTCACTATTTCAGGTTAAAAGAATTAATCCAGTGCAACTATCGACATCAGTTTTGGAGTTCCACCGGCGTTCTTGCAGAGTACAGTATATGTGATTAAGGGGCATGTAGGTTGTATTCAGGTTTTTTATATCCGAGTCTGAAACATGTATGATCGTAAATTCTGTTTGTAGTATAATTTTCTGAACTTGTATTTTAATTATAATTTGTTTTATGACTTTACACGTTTTAACATAAATTTTAAATTTTTTCAAGATTGTTATGGTGGGTCGCTCTGATGATCCTAATGTGACACCTTAGATCTGATCGGGTCACCCGCATCGGTATTTGGGTGTTACAATGCCAATTGCAATATCAGTTAGACGTTATTCTGCACACTCAAGTTCAGATGAAATCAAAGTGTCATTTACATATTTTATACTTAGTATACAACCAACTGTGGTCTTCAAACCGACTTAAATGCTTAAAATACGCTGAAATCAGCAAACTGCATTACATGGAAACATATAAAAACTTACAACAGAGATAGCCACACATGTTTTTCATTTAAGCCTTGGACCATCCCAGCAAAGCACGGATTATGTCTATTATGCTACCGCCAAGAAGAGCCCGCATTAATCTTAGCTTTCCCGACGTGTACGGTGGGTACCTCACAGGTGCATCACCAGCAAAACTTCTATAAAGAACAGCCTTCTTATGGCTGAAAGTATCAAAGGAGAATTTCCCATGGTATGCACCCATCCCGCTGTCCCCGACTCCTCCAAATGGCAAAGTGGGTTCAGCAAGCTGAAAACAATATCAGGTCCGTATCACATATACTTCTAAAGTTCAATAAGAATGAGAATGAATCTAGTATAGTTAGGAAACAAAAACTTGACATTTATATTTTATATCTAACCATTCAACTATATTGAGGGATGATTTGCACCTGGCCATGGAGATTAGCAACAATTTTAAAGTTAAATAAATACAAATGTAAACTGTATAATGCATGCATCATGCATGCCCACATTGACCCCACGAGTTAAAAGTTTACTTACATGTACAGTAGTGTCATTGACAACCAAACCTCCTGCAGAGACTTTTTCAACAAACTTCTCTTTTAGCTTATTGTTACGGGTAAATAGATAAGCTGCTAGTGGCTTTGTTCCAGAAAATTTATCAAATCGAAGCTGTCTTCCACTTTGTCAATCTGTTATAAAACCAACGACAAGAAAAGTAAGGTGTATGTCACGTATCTTTCTCTATAACCGATTTAGAAAACTACTGAGATAATTATTCATTTCGATTCCCAGATGGTATAAATTTTGCCGGGCCATTCTTTCTACGCAGATAAATCATAGTGGAACTTTCCCCTTGCAAGCTTTTCAAAAATGTATTGCTTAGTTGTTATTTCATAAACTTAATTGCTAGTAAAGGGTGAGCAGGTCCTATTATTTGTGTTCCATTTGAAGAAAATGGTATACATTATTTTCGCTCAAGCAACAAAAAAAGGGGGTTTAGACTGTAATTTTTAAGGACAGGCGCTACCACACATAAACAACAGAAACTTGAAAGAAAATTAAAAATAAATTGCAATTTTTTTACTTGAATAGACTCTTTTAGCTCCTACCGTGATAATTGGAAGCAACGGACCAAATATCTCTTCACTCATGATCAGTGAATCTTGTGGGACATCAAGCAAGATAGTGGGAGCAATCTTCCTGATATTG